GATTTTTTTTATTTTCCTTTCTGCATCTTCGGTTGAAATCCAGGCTCCCTTACTTTATCCCATCTTCTCTCCTTTTGGGTATGGATTTTCTGCTTAATGGCACTCTCCCACGAGGAATTTCATCATCTCATTCTATAACTTTCCTTGCATATCCCTTTCCGATTTTTACTGCATTCAAGAATTCTCTCGTTTAAAGTTTCCTTGTCTGAAATATTTTTTCTTATTGCCCACCTGCTATTCTTCCCTCATTGTTTACATACACATGATATTCGACATTCAGCAGTACATCCTCGCCAGCACCCAGGGTTTCTCATGTTCCATTTCACGTATGTCAGAGGCATTCATGGTAAATTCTAAATCCAATCCCAGTGAGAAACTTGAACAGAATTCCTCCTCTGTAAGCCATGCGTGTCGTAAGAGGCTACAAAAATGACGGGAGTAAAGGGCTAGTAACCCCTTCTTCTGTATACATTACTAAATTTAAAAAACAATGCTTTCGTTTTTCTTTTTAGGTCGCCCTGCCTCGGTGAGATACGGCCGTATTGTTGAAAAAAAAATCCAGTCTCACTTGCTTATCCCTTTCTCTCTTGTTTTGTCCTTCAATTTGACCCTTCACGTTTCGGGTCTGATCTGAGGGACCCAATTTTCCGAGTCTATTTCTTTGTGGTTTAAGTCATCCATGATTATTAGCTTCGCTTTTTCCACATGGGCTCCTCTTGCTGCTTCCGTTATTATGTCAGACTCTGCTTTGTGTGATATTCGTATTTGTGATTTGGTCTTCTACTGCTATTTGAGTCCTCCAGTCTTGACTGTGCCCGTATGTAACGACTTATCTCATTTCTGTTTATTCATTTCATCTCTTCAAAACTCCAGTGGTTTCTGATTAGTAGTACAACTTTTCTCCTTTCCTGTTTTATCTTTCCTCCTTATTCAATACTCTGATGGGAATATTGCTTATGTTATCATTTCAATTAGTTTTGTTTCTGTGATTGCTATGTGTGGGGCTTTCAATATTTTGTTTCTTTTAGTTTATCACTCTTATTTGATAATTCATCTGCGTTTCTGTTCCACGCACACTTAGCTTTCTTTTACTATGTTCTGGTTATCATGTATATGGATTTTTTGTTCATTGCTCATGATAAGGAGAGGAAGAGGTGAGGACGGAACTGGTGCGCACATCGTTACAGTGGAAGGAAACATGGTTATAGTTGTAGATAGGAGGAAAGTATGGAAGAGGGTATATGGATATGAGATGAACAGAAGGCAAGCTTCGACTGATTTCTTGATGGTGGGAGAGCCTTCCTCTTGTCACCCACACTGTTTCGCTTTCCTGTAAACTATTTTTTATGCACACACACAACTTCTCCTTCTTCAGCTCTATTCTGTCTCTATCCAGGTATACACACTGATATTGTGTGCTGCTCAAGTATGCTATTTGTCTCAAAATCATGTTCAGAGCTAGTAGTGACCAGGTTAGCTTGATCGGGAATATTTTGTCCCGGCGAATACGTCTCAATCCTCTGCAAATTTTCTATATGCTTTGTATCTCTTACTTTCTTACTATAACCTCAATTATCGATATAATCCCATGTTCCTCCTCCCACCTCCATGACCTACCATCAGCATCCTCAAGTGAACTCCTTTTCATGTTCCTCCCGTTATCTTTTCCTCCGGGTTGCCTTTTCTGTTGTCATCAGTTCCCTTGTTGTCTTCCTGATCGACTCCTGTTCCTCCTAATATGAGAATATCTCTAGTAATGACGTATTTACTTTATCAATTCCTTTGTGTGTGTGTGTGTGTGTGTGTGTGTGTGTGTGTGTGTGTGTGTGTGTGTGTGTGTGTGTGTGTGTGTGTGTGTGTGTGTGTGTGTGTGTGAGAAACAAGTTGAGAGTAATGGGTGTTTCATCCAAAAAAATGTAAATTGAAAAGATTGCAAAAGCTTTTCAAACTACTAAGAGTTCTTTATCAGTACCGAATTAGGTATTGAAGTAACTTAACTGAAGTAGAGCTTCTCACAGAATAGAAGACCCAGAAAAAATTCGACTTGAGTGACACCTGTGCCTAGAAAGAAAAAGAATGCTCAACAATTAAAGCAGAAAATCGCAACGTTATGACATTCATGAGACGTAGGATACAGCACTAACGTCTCCATATAAAACCCGTGTTAATGAGAAGAACGTTTGCAGGTGTATTCATTGTTGGAGAAAGTCTGGCAGGAGTCTGACAATTCACGCAACACTTATACAATAGCACCAGTCTAACAATGTCTTGCAACACATATATACTAGCAACATTCTAACAATGTCTTGCAACACATATATGCTAGCAAGTCTAACAATGCCTTGCAACACATATATACTAGCAACATTCTAACAATGCCTTGCAACACATATACACTAGCAAGTCTAACAATGTGTTGCAACACATATGCACTAGTACTAGTCTAACAACGCCTGGCAGCATACTTGCAAGCATTGTTGGGCAAAATATAAATAACAGAAACATATATCCTATCCATAAACACACCAAATACATTAAAAAAGTATTTAATGATTCTGATTAAATAATTGAAACCAAAGATTAGAGAATCCCGATTCTGACGATGGTTTGTGATATCTATTGCATGACCGTGAAGGTGAAGATACACGTACCCTGGAATATGACTGTTAATAAGCTACATTAAATCTTACTAATGGCTGCTGTGCTGAAAGCCAGGTTACACAAGACATTCCTCACATATGACTGTTACCAGTTGCTATATTATGACTGTTTCCAGTTGCTATATTATGACTGTTTCCAGTTGCTATATTAGGACTGTTTCCAGCTGCTATATTTCATGGCTTTTATTTAAATTTTTACTAATTTTTATTTTAAATAACATAGTTGAATTATCAACATTTGATCGAGATTCCAAATTCACTATTTTCAACTTGGACTTCATAAAAAAAATACGCAAATAGTGAGTGAAACTTTAGTTTAACTCAAACATGTTATATTTCTAACTATATCGTCATTTTTCCTTTGGTTGATAATTAAGCAACAAACACGCATAAGATTAGCATAAAGTGAGTTCTATATTCTCTTTATATATTTTAGCCAATGACTGTTATACTGAAGTTAGGTTCTTAATAGTCATCTAATTCAGTTTTTCTTATGAAAGGTTAGTTAAATTTCTTAACAAAATATACTACCTACCTTGTAAAGTTACAGTTGAGAAGTCGACACCAGAGAGGTTCTCAACACTTTATTTTCAACAATTCATTTCAGTACTATGTTGTTTAGGAAAAAATACGGTTTATATAATTAAACTCTTGCTCTATTTAAATTTTTAAATATTTTTTACCGTAACCTGGCTACTTTTTGAAGTCTATTGCTCCATTGTAATAGCTGTCATGAGTCACTTCTGCTCATGACTCTGACATGTATCATACTCCAGGGAACACGTATGCCTCTTGATTCTCAGAAGGTAAACAGAGAATTCTTGGAGACGGGATTTCCTGCACATTGTCTAGGGCGCTCGCCTCACTAATTACTACTTTAATTATTCCTTTACTGAAATGAACAAAATTCTTAAGTACTTATTAAATGTGAAGAATGAGGCACTTGTGTAGCATTTGGGAATAAAAATTTGCAAGTGTCTCAGTCTTCAGCCTGTTTGTTGTTCTAAAATATTTTACATCATAATTGTTAAATATGTTTTGTTGATCATCGAGTTAGTTTTATTTATATATTGCACAACAAACATTACTTTTAGCGATACAGATCTAATGAATACGTGTTACCAGACATTGTTAATTAAAATAGATGCAGGAATCTGTTATTCTCCAACATTTAACTAACCAGAAAACGTTCTCGTTACTAAGGTATGTATTATATGGAGACGTTAGTATTATGACATATGTATCATGGTGTCATAACGTTGCGATTTTCTGCTTTCATTGTTTAACATTTTTTTTTCTTTTTAGGCACATGTGTCATTCACGTGCGTGTTTATATACACACACACAGGTGGCAATCGAGATATATACAGCTCAAATTCGGCATGCCTCATATATGTATACGTGTGTGTGTGTGTGTGTGTGTGTGTGTGTGTGTGTGTGTGTGTGTGTGTGTGTGTGTGTGTGTGTGTGTGTGTGTGTGTGTTGTGTTGTGTGTGTGTGTGTGTGTGTGTGTGTGTGTGTGTGTGTGTGTTGTGTGTGTGTTGTGTGTGTGTGTGTGTGTGCGTGTATGTGTGTGTGTGTGTCAAATGTAGATACTAAGAAGACGAAAGTGAGGAAGGATGTTCCTCTATTCTTATGTTGTCAACTAATGGGAAAGCAGAGGTGAGCGACTGAGTGAAAAATAGAGGTAAGTAGTTGAAAAGAGAGAAAAATGTATGGGTGAGAGGAGAAAAGAGGTGGACAGGTGAGAGGAGAGGTGGTCAGTGAGAGGAGAGGTGGACAGGTGAGAGGAGAGGTGGACAGGTGAGAGGAGAGGTGGACAGGTGAGAAGAGAGGAGTGAGAAGGAGAGTGGGCAGAGGAGAGAAGTGGATGTGAGGTTTGGTAAGTAGGAGAGTGGAAGAGTGATTATTTTGTGTGTAGGAATGAAATCGACAGACATAAGGAGTTATTTAGATGATGGAATGGAGGGAGGAAGAGTAATGGGAGGAAGGAGTGATGGGAAGAAGAGTAATGGGAGGAAGGGGTGGTGGGAGGAAGGAGTTTTGAAAGTGTACAAAGAGAAGTGGACTGGACTTGTGGTGGTGGTGGGTTGGGCTGTTTATGTTGGTAGAGGAATGATGGGATGATGGGCAGGGTCATATCATGTTGTGTGGAGAATGGATGGAATGATGAGCAGGGGATGGAAAGGAATGGAGGTGGACGGAGGTGGTGGTGGTGGTAGGCGGAAGTAGTGGTGGTGGTGGGCGGAAGTAGTGGTGGTGGTGGGCGGAAGGAGCGTGGAGTACACCTGAGCCTACTCTTACTGTAACAAACGGGGCACACTCAGCCCCCCGCCAAACCTCCAAGTAGCGTTCCTGCAACAGAACGTCCAACTGAGCACCGAGGTATGGTAGCTCTCGTCCCCTGGCGAGTGGACAAGTCTGCCGGCTAGGGAGAAGGAGGAGAAGGAGGAAGAGGAGGAGGAGGAGGAGGAGGAGGAGGAGGAGGAGGAGGAGGAGGAGGAGGGTTGTAACTCCTCTCTGCGAAAATTTGTCCTCCATTACTTTACCAGCATTTGTGAATGCCTGCCACCTACCTCTAGAGACGCCCCAAATGGACACATCACCTTCCTAGAGGATTGGTCCGTTCTTCAGGCAGCCACCCACATATGACGTATAACCTGCCCTCACTCCAGAAAGTGTAAAGAATCTCATACATGAGTCGCATCAACAGGGAACAGGTGTTTCCCTGGTACTCTATATTATTGGATGAAGACGGGGACCTTTTATACAATAAAATCTGTTTTCTAAATTAAAATCATATTCTTCAGTACACTTATTCACCAAGCTTCATCTCACGCGTTAGTTTCTAAATGTATAGATTAAAATTTCCCCATCTTTTTTGTGTCTGTGGTGATGATAACTAATCTCGCTTAAAAATCTATTGTAATGTGTAGACCCAAAAGTTATTTCATTTGCTTGTAAAGATCAGAGTAAATCCGACATGATAATTACCTTGATTACATTGGACACGTAATATCAAGTCTCCATGAGGTAAAGAGTGTCTAGAAACAGGGTTTAAATTAGGGCAGAAGTCCTTGAGAAGGATGGGGTGTGGGCAACTTTCTCGGACAGGGCGGACCTATACGAGGCAGGGGCATTTTCTAGGTAGGACATTATATATATATATATATAAATAGGCAAAGGAAGGCTTCTCACTAAGCCGGAGACAGCCACTCGCCAGGAGGGAGACTCTAATATAGATTTGGAATTTTTGGCACTAAAACTAGAAGAATGAATTACTTCTACCAAAATCCAGTTCTACATTAAATACACACATAGTGCATGATGTTTACTTTAAAATTATGCTTTAGAAGCAATGATTATAAAGAGACAGACTTTAAGAAGTGTGATTATCATAGAAGCGTGCAATACACTTTCTGAGAGAAGTTAGAGCTGATGCATCAAAGTGTGACATGCAGAAATCCATAAATATTCACTTCTAAATGGTACTATCTTATCTTTAGACAAATACACTATCAATCATTCGTGTATATTGCTTACTTAAGTCACATAAAACAATCAAACAAACTGTCAGAAATATAGCTAAAACGTTACAGAGACAAACACGAAATTGAAAATAAAGAATACTTCCTCGGTAAAGAAGTGCAATACTACTCCGTCAGCTGGAGATCAGTATAACTAGAAGTCTTTGTAAATGACAACTCATCCCTCATTACTTCACACACTCATCAAAAGATATATTTTAAAGGCATGAGAAGTGCACTACTAAATCTGTGCAAGCCTTTCACTGCATACCGTAGAGATTGTATTGGAAAAATAAACAGTCACTTAATTGCGTACAGGGGAAAAATGTAGCTACCTGTAGAATCCATAAGCCAGACAAGATCTGTTACAAATTCGAGTGACTAAAATTCACTAGGCTTTTCTATTTAGCGCTATACCCGAGGTGTCTGAGATCAGGTGATGAATACGCAAGATTACCAGCTAAATGACATTTTTGGTAAAATCCAGAATTTACCAAAATATGACATGACATAAATTTGCCTCTAATTTGAAATGATTTTGTTTTACATATATGCACTTCAGTATCAATTTTTTTTATAATTTGACGTATAGTTTGTCCCATTAAATATATTATATATATAATATATATAAATTATAATATAATATATATATATATATATATATATATATATATATATATATATATATATATATATATATATATATATATATATATATAATAAATATTGAGTAGGGAAGCTACTTACTGTTCAAAATGCTTGTGTAGTCTGACTTCCCAGTTTAAGCAACCTACAAGTTTTCGACTTTCCTTCTCCAGTTTTGTGAAATTGTGTGCCGTTGTAGTGTTTTTACCTGGTAAATGCTGCCTGCATTCCATGTCCTCTCTTTGAACACGGAACATTTAGTATCTAAGCTCAGCCTTTTTGGTACAGCTGCAGTATATTTGTGAAGTAAATTCTTTAATATGAAGTTGCGAATTTGGTAATGAGACTTTCCCAAGGTTTCATCAAGAAGTCTGAGACGTGATTTAGTGTTCTTTCTAATGAATAATATGCTTATTATGTATTTGCTCAGGCCTTGGCATATGAAGACATCTGTGGCATGTAAACACTAATCAGAGCAGAGTAGGTCAGAACTGTGGCTTCGTGTGTACCAGTAAACGTATTTCAGCTTCTTGGTTTTTACTTGAGAATTTCAATGTTTTCCCATATGCTTCGTGTAGGTTTGATACATAGGTTCCCACAGGTTATGAATTTAGTATTTTCACTAAACTGTTCTCTCTTTTATGAAAGAAACCTAGTTTGCTTGTTCTAGATATGTGTGCATGTCAGCAGTCAGCTCCAGTTGTAAATTTTGTGACCAGTTCATACTGGCAGAAAGTTATATATTTTTCTGATCCACTACTTATATGGTTGATTTACTTTGTCATGCACGACCAGATGATACTTTGTCTTTGTCTGAGGAGCCCTCTTTCACCGGTAGAATTTTGATGCTGTTCGAACCAAGTTAATGATTATTTTTTGTGAGTGAATTTTGATCTGAGTTTTCTGTGATACTCTTCAATTGGAATATTATTTGCAACGTCTTTGGGAAAGTTACCAGTGTGCTCAAATTATATTACTGCTACAGCTTTAAAAAAGTTTACTCACTGTACTGATATTCCGATGTTCAGTGGCATCAAAACAAAAAGATTCCACAGAGGATTATTGTAGAGCGCAGCTTGATGCCGTTATAATAATCGTGTCATTACGATTTCGTGAGTCTTTATGCCGTTGCTACCCTCAAACAGTGGTTACTGTAATACCGCAGTATTTATTTAGATATTGTTCAAAAAATTACTGTAAAAATTTATATGCCTTTAACATTGCCTCTCGTGAAGAGGGTATGTATAATTAATCAATTCAGGTTATAACACTAAATGATTTCAGTACACATATTTTCTAAGTTAAATTTTATTTAGAAATTGCACACTTTGCCTAAGTTAGGTTAGGTAAGGTACGTCAGGAAACAGGACAAGTATTTGCTGACGCGGGTCTTAGTCATATAATGAACTTTTGGTCATCTGACCGGACCTCCCGCTAGCTTACCGGTCTACCGCTTTAAAAATTATGTTTATATCCATTAAGTGTCTAAGCTACACTTTGTCTAGTTGTATGAACATTTAATATTAATAATTTTATATTAAACGCACACGACACCTTATTCAGTAGTTTTAAGTTAACTGTTATTATAGTTATTGTAATTTGCAGTATTACACCTAATAAATTTAAGTCTCAAAAAGCGTAAAAAAAAAAAATTAAGACTGGTCTAGCCTTAATTAAATTAAAGATAGACCACAGAATGACATTTAGCTGGGAATCTGCCTCGTCCATCACATGTGTCCAGAGCTCAGACATCAAACTAGATATTGAAATTTAAAATCATCAGGTAGTCAAATCTATAACGTTGAGTTCTAGTTCATGGACGAGTATCATTTATCGTAAACATTTACAAATGTACAAATCATGTAAGACACAATACAGCTGTCATCATTAGCAACAATACTTCTGTATCATTACATTAACGGTGTACAGTACTGATACGTTGATAAATAAGCCACGTGAGTAACACCTCGGGGTCTGTAGTATGAAGACGTTCCGCCTGCCAGTAACTTTTTATTCATAATACAAAGGATACACACTGGACACTGTGTAAGACAGATAAACACTCCCTCAGCTTAGATAAAAGGTGTCCAGTTCGTAAGCCTTAATCAGATTATTCAAGGCTGAACACCTATCAAGGCTGAGAGTCTCATTAACCCATCTTCCACGGTCTCAGGTAAATAATCTCTATTGAATACACAAATAACCCGCACATAGGACTTGAATCATTTTCAAAGTCACACTGTATTGAATTAAAAGTTTACTGGTTGGAGAAACTTGTTCTTAATAAAATTACATTGGTATTGCACATATTTCTAATACATCAATATGTCTGCACTTCGATGGCAGAGTTGCGAAGCTATCTGAGTCACGCACCGAGTAGTGGTGGGTGGCAGTAAGTGGTGGTGGGTGGCAGTAAGTGGTGGTGGGTGGCAGTAAGTGGTGGTGGGTGGCAGTAAGTGGTGGTGGGTGGTAGTAAGTGGTGGTGGGTGGTAGTAAGTGGTGGTGGGTGGCAGTAAGTGGTGGTGGGTGGTAGTAAGTGGTGTGGTGGGTGGTAGTAAAGTGGTGGTGGGTGGTAGTAAGTGGTGGTGGGTGGTAGTAAGTGGTGGTGGGTGGCAGTAAGTGGTGGTGGGTGGTAGTAAGTGGTGGTGGGTGGTAGTAAGTGGGTGGTGGGTTGGTAGTAAGTGGTGGTGGTGGCAGTAAGTGGTGGTTTGCGGCAGTAAGTGGTGGTGGGTGGTAGTAAGTGGTGGTGGGTGGTAAATAAGTGGTGGTGGGTGGTAGTAAGTGGTGGTGGGTGGTAGTAAGTGGTGGTGGGTGGTAGTAAGTGGTGGTGGGAGGTAGTAAGTGGTGGTGGGTGGCAGTAAGTGGTGGTGGGGGTGCAGTAAGTGGTGGTGGGTGGTAGTAAGTGGTGGTGGATGGTAGTAAAGTGGTGGTGGGTGGTAGTAAGTGGTGGTGGGTGGTAGTAAGTGGTGGTGGGTGGTAGTAAGTGGTGGTGGGTGGCAGTAAGTGGTGGTGGGTGGCAGTAAGTGGTGGTGGGTGGCAGTAGTGGTGGTGGGTGGTAGTAAGTGGTGGTGGGTGGTTAGTAAGTGGTGGTGGGTTGGTAGTAAGTGGTGGTGGGTGGTAGTAAGTGGTGGTGGGTGGCAGTAAGTGGGTGGGTGGCAGTAAGTGGTGGTGGGTGGTAGTAAG